TTCAGTTTGCCATGGCTGTTAATGAAATTGCCTTAGCAAACATCGTGCACAAGTTCGACTGGGCATTGCCCGGTGAAGCAAGTGGGGAGGATTTAGACATGACAGAAACCATTGGCTTAACCCCACATAGAAAATATCCTCTGAAGGCTGTTGCTTTTCCACACTCAAGTTGAGGGATAGGGAGGGCATTTTCATATATGTCCGTGAACTGGTCTTCATATTATATGTGTTAAGGCTCTAAGCCTGCTATCGTGTATGTCTATGGCTTCAGCTGTCAGTACTGTTGCCAATATACCATAGCACAATAAGAACTGTCAAAATATTATGTGTGAATGCAAGTTTTCTCACCATATACACATTTTCAAGTTTCTTAAATTGGTCTGTTCGGAATATTTTGAGTTTTTGGAAATTCAAAATCAGGGTAGTTTCTGAATTTTTAACCATGGTGGTGTGTGGTGAAAAAGTCAAACTCAAGTATACATGATTGATGAGATGGGGAAAAGTCATTTGCTTTATCTCGTGGGATTAAATTAAAGTGGGAAAGATAATTGAAACAATTCTAGTATTAGATTACTCTCACAAAGAAAGTCAAAAAGAGAGGAGGTAAAAGACAAAAGAAGAAGAGAATGCCCCATGGTGATCTTATCCAACTGTGATCTTATCTTGCATTACCAATGAGGTTTTTCTAGAACATATTTTCTTTCTATATTCATTTTAGAAGGTTGGATGTGTGAAACACATAAGATCATGAAATTCGAGTTCTGCTTAAGAGTATCTAAAGTGTTCCTTTAGTGTTTGTTCATCCAAACAAAAATAAAGATCCGTGCGAGTTCCATATTCTTGTGTAAGTTCAATTTGCCACAGCTGTTACTGAGATTGCTTTAGCAAATATAGTACATAAGTTTGATTGGAACATGTAAAAGAAAGAATAAGAGAAATAACTTACAGTTTTGAGTGGGAGAAGGAGAGAGGGTTCTCTTGTTGATAAAAATTTGACAGCAAGTAGGGTGGGAAGAAATCGCACAATATTACTCATCATTCCAACCCATGGTAGACTACAACTTGGAACAAGAATTGTAAAAGAAGTCTTTGACCATATGCTCTATTATTGATGGTGAATTTTCCTAACAGAACTTGCACTGATGCACACTAAATGGAGCTGTTCTGATGTAACTACACACCGATGCAAAGTTCAACCATTCAAACCTCACACTACCATAGAAGCCAACATTTCTCGATAGAAGCTGTCCTGTAGAATACTTTTGTTTCCCTATTACTATTCCACAAGGATAATGATGCATGTGGTGATTTGTTTGTGCCTGGTGGTCAAATCCTTACCATAGATTGATATACAGCGAGATCAAAATAGGTAGCAACTTCTCCGCTATCTTTAGAGAAATGCTTTTGCAAACATGCACCATATCGAGATTCTTTGTCATGTAGCTCCATAGCTGTTCTTGACGTTTTACTATCTGCCACTTGTTTCTGGGACCATGGCCTATCATCATCCATTGCTACCCACCAAAAATGGAAAAAACCATCTCTAAGACGTTTCTCCTAATAAAACAAAGACCAGACCGTCATGTTGTGGAAAAGCTGAATGATACAAAATAATTGAGGTGGCTACCTTGCCTATGAGAGAAAGGTGAACCATGTACTCAGTTTTGGTTCAGGAAACTCCAATGGCTCTTCTTCAACTGCTAAAGGAACACTCTTCGCTTTTTGCATTCAGTCTCCTCATACTGCTGCTCAAATTCATCTATAAGGATAAGTCGAGGAAAAGAAGAGTCAAACTTCCACCAAGTCCTCCAAAGCTACCCGTCATTGGTAACCTTCACCAGCTCGGAAACAAGCCTCACCTATCTCTCCGTTGCTTGGCAGAGAAGTATGGTCCAATAATTTACTTACAGCTTGGTGAGATCCCAACAGTGGTGGTTTCATCAGCTAGATTAGCAAAGGAAGTACTGAAAACCCATGACCTTGCACTATCAAGCCGTCCACAAATCTTTTCAGCCAAACACCTCTTCTATAATTGCACTGACGTTGTCTTCTCCCCTTACGGTGCTTATTGGAGGCATATTCGTAAGATTTGCATACTTGAGCTACTAAGTGCCAAGAGAGTGCAATCATTTAGCCATGTTAGAGAAGAAGAAGTTGCTCGCCTGGTTCGTCGGGTTGCAGAGTTCTACCCTGGCACTACCAATCTGACCAAGATGCTTGGACTATATGCAAATGATGTTCTCTGTCGAGTGGCATTTGGAAGGGGTTTCTCAGAAGGTGGAGACTATGATAGGCACGGGTTCCAAAAGATGCTTGAGGAATATCAGGAATTGCTTGGAGGATTTTCTATTGGAGATTTCTTCCCTTCCATGGAGTTCATACACAGTTTAACAGGAATGAAATCAAGACTTCAAGAGACCTTCCGGCGATTCGACGAACTTTTTGACCAAATGGTGACTGATCATCTCAGCCCCAAGAGAGAAAAAGAGGAGCACAAGGACCTTGTAGATGTTTTACTTGATATACAGAAAAAAGAGTCTACTGAAATGCCTCTCACCATGGATAATGTCAAGGCTATCATCTTGGTTAGTATAGAATCTTGAATGCTTAAGTTATATTTACTAACAGCCATGAAATCCAATATTAATATAGATATGAATTGCACTCAACTGCTTGCAAACAAATTAACACTAAGTGGTACAACACTGCTGCTGCAGGACATGTTTGCTGCAGGAACTGACACAACCTTCATCACCCTCGATTGGGGAATGACAGAGCTTTTGATGAATCGCAAAGTATTGGAAAGAGCACAAGCAGAAGTACGAGGTGTTGTCGGAGAAAGAAGAGTCGTGTTAGAGAGTGATCTGCCTCAGCTGGACTACATGAAAGCTGTCATCAAAGAAATATTTAGATTGCATCCACCTGCTCCAGTACTAGTCCCTAGAGAATCCATGGAAGATGTAACCATTGATGGGTATGATATTCTAGCCAAAACACGAATTTTTGTCAATGCCTGGGCAATAGGGAGGGACCCTGAATCTTGGGAAGATCCAGAAGCGTTTGAACCAGAAAGATTCATAGGTAGCACTATAGACTTCAAGGGGCAGGATTTTGAGCTTATACCTTTTGGGGCTGGTAGAAGAGGTTGCCCTGCTGTTACATTCGGAACAGCAACCATTGAGCTTGCTCTAGCTCAACTTCTGCATACCTTTGATTGGGAGCTCCCCCCTGATACTGCAGCAAAAGATTTGGACATGACAGAAGTTTTTGGTATCACAATGCACAGGATAGCCAATCTGATTGTTGTTGCCAGACCACGGTTTCCCTGAGACGAGAAATCATCAATAAACTACATGATACTCTATGTATCATCCAATTTTCTCTGCTTTCATCAAACATACAAGAGACGAGCAGATTCACGCATTGCCTTTTGCCTGTATCTCAGAAACAGACTCTTATAGTTAATGGAAGAATATATATACTTGTCTTTTTTAAATAAGATATGCTTTTTCTTTCCTTTTCCCTCCCTCCTTTACCCCAATGACGATCTAAACCCAATGTCAAGGTTGGTTTCCAAGAACAATGTTATGGTCATAGCTTCGCAAGGAAGAACAAGTTAATTCCCCTACTTGCCTCCGCATGCATATCAGGGAACTATATACTTCAAAAAATATTCAAAAGAATTTATTCAAGTTCTTTTCAATATAAATTGATTGATAAAAGATGAATTTTGAAAAGTAATAGAGCTCACAGAAGGTATACATTGCTAGGCCGTAAAACCTTCATGGGAGAGAAATAAAAAACAAGACTAGTACCAGACTAGGACTTGTTACAAGGCATAACTGTCTTGTCAAAATTTTCTGGCCTAATCATTGTTCTACTTCTCATGGAGCGAGCACATGCATGGTAGATCATGCATAGATCCAACTTCATTGAAAAGCATGGAACAATAATGAGAATAGAGGGATATATGGTTAAAATTGGAGGACGCAATCTTCTCTCTGAGGTACTCTGGCTTCCAAAATTGTTATCCTTGGCAAATCTGTTCTCTCTGCGGTGAACCAGTATTGCAAAATGTTTTATGTTGATATTCAATCAAGTACTTCAAGCACAGCTGTTGAATCTCATTGTGACCTTATATCCTGAAGATAATGAGCTACTTTCTGAGCACCAAAAAACAAGGCATCGGCAAGGAGAAAGACTCCAACCTGTGCCAAAAAAGAAATCAAATTTGAGATTAGACTCTTAAAAGTGAGGTGACTAAACAGCAGGCCATTTTAGCAAACATGTTAAAGAAAATAAGTACCAGCCGGGCAGAGAACACTAATCGGTAACTCCAACCTTCTTTGGCAGCTGCAGCTCTCTGCTGATCAGTCCAACTGTGGATTGGGGATTCATAAATTATTGCACTTTCTGTAAAGTTGTATAAGAACTGCCTTAAAGTTGTACTCTAATATGCATCAATAACTTAAGGCCACTGTGCATCAGCAGAAAGTAGATGCCAAGTAATTTGTATTATAAGCCATAAACTAATGGAAAATATACAAAGTAAATCACCAAATCATAGACCTTGAGTCAATCTGGCAGCAATAACTTGAAGATTATAGCTGGAAATTACCTTTTCATGGGACAAAGCAACGTCAACCTTGGTCAATTAAGTTTACCAGATTCAATCTACATGCGTACTTACCTGATTATGCATCTAATAGCCATCTAGTTATCTATACTAGATGGCATTTACATAACCTTTCAACCCAGTTTCATGATCTATACAGTTTCATCTTATCTTCCCATTTGAAACAAGAAAAAATGAAAAATAAAATTTTGGTTTTCACAATGCACATATCATAAGGAGAAGCGAGTTAAGATCAGATAGTTACCCAAGGAATTCTGAAACCCCACCAATTCCAGCAAACTTAAATGGCTGAGGGCCTTCTCTGACAAGATCCTGCTCCGACATAAGACGAGACTCACTACATTAACAGACGTTTTCAGGTTGGTTCACAACAAAGCACTGAAAAAGTTATAAATTTAGAAACGCTAATTACAAAAAAAAATATCTAAGTTACACAAACCACAACTACCTCTTCTTCAGCAGCCTCCAAACCCCCTTGAACCCAGAAAAGGTTTCTGTATCCCGCATTGTATAGCTGCTCACAAGCAGCTAGAGATCTGCCCAAGAAAGGTGACACTGGTGAAATTTGATTGATTCATTTTAATTAATGTAGGCTATTCTCTTTATTGCCATCTTTTCTTCCATGTGTTTAAAGTTAAACCATAGTATTAGTTAGTTTTTTTTTGTTGAAAAAAATAGTATTAGGTAGAAGTATAAGTTATGAACTGCAGTTCTCTATTTGAGCTGGAGATATGTTAGTGATCAAAGATTCATATACACAAAAAATTCAACTTGGACAGAAACATGGGTCTGATGTCTAGAACATAGAAAATAAAGGGCTGAATTAAGATTCCTCCCTTTTTATCCTTTGACAATTTCCTCCAATTATATGGTCACTTTGTGGGGAGAAGATATAAATAATCATATAATATTCATAATTTTAGGACAACTTTCACTAAAGTTTTCTAAAAGCTTTTCCAGTCTAATTGTAGACAACTATGAAAATGAGAAAAAAAGAAGAAAAAAAGAAGGGATTTGCAATGCATTCTGAATATAGGATGACATAAGTACATATATGATGCAATAAAAAACTCAATCATATCAATTATATAAAGCCCAAAATAGAATTATGTTATAGCAGAACTTCCACATTCCTCATTATTAAACCAAAGTTATAACTGAAACTACAATTAGTTGAACATAAAGCGCACCTCAATCCCTTCTGACATGCAACAATAAGATCTGTATCTTTTGGAAACTTCTCGTCAACTTTGGACAAGAACTGGCTGTTGCAAAAGAAAAAACAATGAAAATGCAATTCATCATGTGAACAAAGCAAATCATGCCAATAATATGATTTTTTTTGAAATACCTATTATAAGACAATGTAGGCACACCACTCCACCAACCCCCTAC